CCCAGCAACAAAAATCTGTTTCTGTTTCTGAGGACGTCTCCAAGCTCACCTCTCCACCAGCAGGACTTCATTCACCCAGATCAGAACCTCTAACAGATTCTTTGTTTTCGGAGCTTCGTGAATAAAAAGATCAGGGTGGCTGTTCGACAGGACAGATCATCAGAGGAGCGGAGTTTCTACCTCCATCATTCAGACCAGGAACAAAGAACGGGTGGAGTTTATCAGAGAAGCAGAAGCCAGTAAAGGATCAGAGCTGCAGCTTCTACATCATAAAAGGAGACCACAACCCCCTCATCATCCACAAACACCCCCACCTACTCCAGACCAGAATCAAGATGGAGACCTCCTTGAGGACCATCACAAGCTTTGTACTGATTTCCATTTCTCAAATTAACAGTCCAGTAATAATTGTCGGGAACTCTCCCTTCCTGTTGATGGACCTTCTGACCTGAACCTCAAAGTCAAATCTGCCTGAAGATAAACTCTGTATCCCCAAAACAGTAAAACAATCTCCCTGGATTAACTGGAACATCCTCCAGCACATCTTTATGATAGACTTGTTCTCCATCATCATCGTCATCATCATCATCATAAACTTGTTCTCCATCAGCAGACAGGTCAAGGTCAGGATGTGCCGTATCAGGATCAAGAGTTACATCTACTGCAGACCTCTAGACCTCCTTCAGCTCAGCCTCCATCAGGTTCTTCATCTTCTTCTGAGAGTCTTCTCCAGCTGATGCACAGCTCTCATCACAATCCTCTCATATGATGGAGGATGAACTCTGAATTTTGTCCAGTCCTTGGTGGGTGGAGCAGCTTTCAAGGAGCTGAAGCTCTGGAGAAGGTGGAGGTGGTCTTCAGAACCTGAGAGCTGCTTCACCTCAGAGCTCCTCTTCATCAGCTCAGAGATCTCTGGTTCCAGATCTTTGATGAGGTCTTCAGTCTGGTTCTCTGTAGTTTTCTGTTTGTCTTCAATGTCCTTTATGGGCTCCTTTATGCTTCTCTCAACAGACTTCTTCAGATCAGTAAAGACCTGAACACCTTCTGCTTTCTGTCTATCTGCAGCATCTTTACTGATCTTCACCGACTCTCTAACCTCTTGAATCTTTAGTCGTCTGTTCTGGATCATCTGTTGAACTTCAGCATGTCTTCTCCAGCTCTGGAGAAGACATGCTGAAGTTCATGGCCACTTCCAGTCGGCAACAAGATGGCGCCTGAGCTTGGCTTAGCCGCAGTCACCGGCCACTTTTTCAAACTTTTCTCCACTAACCTCCTCTTTTCCACCTTGCTCCTGTCTGCGATCCTCTTCAGTAGTGTCCCTGCTACCATCTCCTATGATCGCCAGACTCTTTTGTCCTTCCGTTCGTTCACGATCGCCCAAAACGCACCGAGGACGTACCATCCTGTTTGTTTACCTGAGTGGCGCACCTGCCCGGAGCCAAACGACAGTCCTGAGCTGTGCACCTCCGGCTATGTTTGTCCGGTCCCGGGAAAACGTCGGAGGAAAAGAGGTAAATGAGCAGGAATCCAGGTGAGATTAAGACTTCTCTTAAAGCGTGGTTTATCTGGTAAACATTGGAGCGATCTTCTAGCTTCTTGTCCTTTGTTTGGTGACCTGAGCGCCACTTCCGCATTCCCGCCAGGCCGCGTTGGGACGCGGTTCATCCGTCCAAGTTTTTTAAGGTCGGTTTATCTTCATTCCTCTGTAGTTTCTCCTCCTATTCCCTCCATAAGTGGTTTTTATAAACACCGTGGATCTAACCCCGCTAATTTACATCCACTAACTCCAGCTGTTTGTGTAGTTTCTGATTCCTCCACCTCACTCAGTATGGCTGTTAAATTCCCGCTCTGTTAACAATAAGTCCTTCCTGCTCAATGATCTAATTCTCTCTAAAAACCTGGATTTTCTGTTTCTGACTGAAGTTTGGCAGCAAACATCTGATTATTCTGGTCTGATTGAACTCTGCCCCAGTGGTTATTCTTTTCTTAGCCAGCCCCGGGGTTCTGGTCGTGGTGGAGGCCTAGCTGTTGTTTTCAGAGACCATCTTCCATGTAGCTCTACAACCTCTGGTCACTTTGCTTCCTTTGAACTGCAGCTGGTTAAAGTCGGGCGTAAGGACCCGTTCTACTGTGCTGTGTTCTATCGTCCACCTGGTCCAAACAGTTCTTTCCTTCAGGAGTTTAGTGACTTTCTATCCTCCACTGTGAAGCTGTCCAGACTGGTGACTGTTGGTGACTTTAACATCCACGTTGATAATCCCTCTGATCTCTTTGCCATGAATTTCTCCAGCCTTATGGACTCCTTCAGCTTTACCCAGCATGTTTCTGGCCCCACACACACCAGGGGGCACACTCTGGACCTTGTTTTTACCCTGAGTCTAAATGCTGACAGCGTTTGTCCTGAGGACGTTTATATTTCAGATCACCATTGCATTTTCTTTAACTTGTCAGTTTCTGCGTCCCAACCTCCTGCTCGCCGTATGGTTAGTTCTCGTTTTCTTAATGAGAGCACAGCTAGCAATTTTTCTGCTGCCTTTGATCCACCCTGTTCTTCTGATAACGACCCAGATTCCTTAACTTCTCAGTTTAACGAGCACTGCCTCTCCATTCTGGACAACATCTGTCCTGTCAGAACCAGATCAGTTCCTGCAGTGAACCCTACTCCCTGGTTTAATGACAGCCTTCGCAGCCTGAAGCACCAATGCAGAAAAACGGAGTGTTTGTGGAAGAAAACCCATCTCCACATCCATCTGCTGCACCTAAAGGATCTTCTGACATCCTTTAACTCTGCAGTCAGAGATGCAAGGGTTTCTTATTTCTCCAACCTGGTGTCCCAGAGCAAAGGGAACCCCAAGGTGCTCTTTAACACCATCAGCAGCATCGTCTCTCCTGCCTCTCTTACAGCCTCCATCCACTCTGTTACAGACTGAGAACTTTCTGTCTGTCTGGTTTGGCAGCTGCTGGGTTTCTGTTCAGCTTCATATCTGAATTGATCAACCATTTCTCTGAAGGTGTTGACTTTTAGTTCAGGTCTGGTCTTCTTGAACAGATGGGACACTGGAAGCTCTTGCCACCATCCCAGTGTTGGGTGATGCAGGTCTTACAGAAGTTGTGTCCACATGGCATGGTGACTGGATCAGTGAACACATCCTGACAGACGGATCCTCAAATCTCAGGCTGGTGCCAGCAGACATGTCTGAACTCTGAGGACAAGAGTCGAAGAGGAAACTACAGAGTAAAGCAGATCTAATCAGAAAAGTTTAACGTTAGTTATTTAAATAATTTAGTTTAACTCCAGATGAGTTTCAGCATTAGGAAAGCATCTCATTTGGATTAATCCGAGTTTAGTTTTTCCTGCTGATTGATGAACCACAGCAAACCTGATCAGTTTTGTTTAATGATAACAGTCAGAGGAGAAAAGGTGAATTCTCCTTCAGATAGAAAGTTGGTCTCAGCTGCAGCTCTGAATCGGTTTCTCTTTCACTAAAGTGCTGTAGAAACCTCCAACAGGAAGTTTTTAATTTGCTGGTAGTCAATCGGAGGAAACGTCCACATACCAGGAAGTAAGTCACCAAAACCTGATGTGTTCAGTTGAACTCTGATCTGGTTCCTAAAACAGGAGCAGAGCGTCTTTCTCAGATACCAACTTACAAGGCATTCATTTAAACCAGAAGACTGTGTAAAAACAAACAAAAAAAAATAACTAGTGAATTTGGTCTTTAAGCGAGGAAAGGCTAACAGGTCATACCTCTGATGGCTTAATCATCAGCTTAAATATAAAAAACAGATCATTAAAAATACTTAAATAATCCTTATGTATACTCACTTTCACCTGACAGCTGAAACCTTCACCTTATAGTTGGAAATCTTTGGTGGACAGAGAAAAAAAGTTGGTTAATCTTGATCAACCTTCCTACTCGTACCGCCAGGCTCTCTCTAACCCGCGGTCGGTCCAACCGATTCAGTCCGACCTGAGTGTTGGCTTCCTCCTTGGAAAAGAGAAATGCAGGAAAAATAGGTTTGAAGCAAAAACTTAAAAACCGATGGAACTTTGCAAAGGTCTGGTGCTGGAACGTTCTCCTTTTCAGCTTCTTCAAACAGCCAACGGTCTTGTTAAATGGTAAATGGCCTGTATTTGATATAGCGCCTTCTAGAATCCAGGAACCCCCCAAGGCGCCTTACAACACAATCAGTCATTCACACATTTACACAATGGTGGGGATGAGCTATGATGTAGCCACAGCTGCCCTGGGGCAACTGACAGAGGCGAGGCTGCCGAGCACTGGTGCCACCGGTCCCTCCGACCGCCACCAGCAGGCAACGTGGGCTAAGTGTCTTGCCCAAGGACACAATGACAGCAACAGACTGAGCAGGGCTCAAACCTGCAACCTTCCAATTACGGGGCGAGCACTTAACTCCTGTTGCCCGTGTTAAGTCAAGATCCACTTCACCCCAAGTCTGGTGGTTCACTATCTCCATCGGTAGAAAGTGGTCGGTTCCTCTTTCCTTCCTTCGACCTTCACACCAAACCTCGGCTCCAACTGATTTGAGTTACAATCTGGACCTTTAACTTTTAATCACAACTTAATCATTAAACATGTTACCATGGAACAGTCCCTACTGATCATTTAACAAGACAATTCTATTGATTCAGATCGCCGTTTAACATTACTTGACTTAAAAACTCATAATCATGCCATTTAATCACAAAATGGACATTGGCTGTAAGAATCCTTTCATCACCGTCTTACTCAAACATTACATGAAATCATACATTTGATTATTTCATCAACTTTTGCCTGTTTGTGTCCATCTCTCCGATCATGGGTAAATGTGACTCAACTCATTTTGACTTTTTTTTTCTGTTCTAGAGACATTATTCTTTATTCTGTTGAACCACAATTTGGTTTGTCTTCATGTCCTGGACACGATCAGACATTCACACACATTCTTACCCAGGTTGTGTGAAGAACAAGACAAAGCAACAAGACAAAAGAAGATGAGCTGCAGGATTTTTATTTAAATCAAGAGTGTTTTTATCCAAGATTCACTTCATAATAAAAACCACTACATAAATGATGGTTGACGCTCCTGCAGTTGACAAGTTTTCCAAACCGTCTCACACTCCCACCTCCGCTCTAGTTGTGGCCTTGGAGAGCCTCTGCCATGAACAGCTTCCCAAGGTTCTGCGAGGTGAACTCCTTCACGTTCTGGCAGTAGTTGTTAATTTGCCCTGTTGGAGAACAGCCACATGCATTCACACACCCCCATAAAACAACACACATACACCCCACAAGAAGCATATGTACAGCATACACACACACACACACACACACACACACACACACACACACACAAACATTTGTACAAACACAGACGGAGAAAACAGCAGCGAAACATCAAATTAGTGGTGAACGGAGTAAACGGGGGGCTCAGAATGCTGTCAGGAGGCGGAGAGCCAAACAGCGGGGATAAAGGAAGCTGAACGGGAGGCTGAGTCAATAAACTTTAAATTAATGTAATTTTAAGATAATGGCAGAGATAATTGCGAAACAGAACCTGAGCTCCAGTGAGAGGAGCAGAAGTGTCTGTTGGAATCTGGAGAAAAAAAGAAATGCGGGTGTCCTCTGGTTTGATTGGTTTTTTGTGTGTGCGTACCTGCAATGAGCAGAGTATCCATGCGTGGTGGCGCCTGTGGGGGCTTGAACAATTTGGTGATATCCTCCTCAGGCAGTGGGGGTTCTCCACGACTCTGCCGCTGGGCATTCTCCTGCTGCCTTCTCTGGATGTACTAGAGGAGGAGACCCAAAAACAGGGTGGCATAAGTCGGGGGAGATGCAGGAGAAAAAGTTGAAAAGCCCCAAAACAAGTTTAGATAAATTCAAACAAGAAACCTGGATAAATGGAGCCAAAACCAGAAAATATGTGAAAAGAAATGACGAGAAGAGATGGAAGTAAGAGAAGAAAGCATTAGGTAAGAGAGTCAAGAAGAGTTACAGGAAAAGTAGCAGGAGGCATAAAGTCACGGAGACACAGGGAACACAAAGTAAGAAATGTAGAGAGTGATGAAAGCTGACATAGGGAGACAGAAGAGTTATAAGTGCTAACAGGAAGGGGAGTGATTTGTGGTGGGCTGACAGTCGGTGAATAAGTGAGGTTCCGTGTCTCTGGAGATCCTAAAAGCCTTGTTAATTTAGCAAGATGGAGAAAAGGAAGGTCGTGGCAGATGGGAGGTGGCTGGTGTGGGAGCGTGTTTTCAACCAAGCATCCCACAATGCACCAGTATGTGCGCCTCACATAAACATAAAAATGAAAATATACAACTATTTGATCATTTTATTTCCTGCCGGTGTGTCACAGCATGAGCATGGTTCCTAAAACGTTCATGTGTCAAACTTCAGCCTCACTTATTAGTGTATACGACTCCTACAGAGCTGTTAAACAGACGTTAGAATTAAAACTCTAAAAGTGAAATACGGTTTCATTTAGACATATGTTGACCTCATCAAACACAGGCACCACTGTCTGCTTTCCCTCCTCTTCACAAACGGCTCAATCGCTGTCAAGTTGCCATTTTTACAGACCACGGACTCTGAAATGGACCAGGCTCTTGCCTCCTGTGCGTTTTATGCTTCGTGTTTGATGTTGACGTCTTGACGAAAAGCAATCGTGTCCCAGCAGTTCTCTTGCAGCCTGCAGCCAGGGCTTCCTGTATTTTGTCGTTTTTATTCTCAAACCTCCACCTTCACAAGCGTGGATTTTTTTTTTCAGTGCCTGCTGCTGAGCAGCATCACCACAATGCGTTGCTGGAAGCGGCGTGCAGCACGCTGTGGGACGGCGGCTTTGCTGTGATGGCCTCCACAGACTTGTTATAGAGCCAGACCTGACGAAATATCAAAGCTGGACCAAGACCAAATGAAGTTAGTGTACTACGTAATGGTCTAATCTGGTCAGGTAATGCACCCAATCATAATAAAGCCTTTAATCGTATTGTGAGCTATAGTCACTGCAGACGATGGATGTGTTCAGACAACAATTACCATCCAGATTGAATTACAGAGAAGATTATTATTTTATGGAGTCCATTTGGCGACACAGTATTGAATTGTTGGTCAAGTGGGTGAAAAGATGATTTTTAATTATTCTAATAAATGAGTCTTTAAAGCAATTAAATTCTGTCCACTTTGGTTTTCCTTCTTGAAAAGGTTCATTGCTTCTATAAATTTGTAAAGTCAAATAACTCAAGTTTTGGACTGAGACGTGGCTTTGGAATATTCCTAATCCTAAATGGCTCAGATCGGTATCTGAGCCTAGTTTTTACTTCCTCTGTTTCCTACCTTCCTTTCAACATGCTAATCATATAAACTTCAACTCTCCTGGCAATGTTTCCAACAGCTGATTTGACTCCCCTTTCATGTTTCCTTTATATACAGAGACAAACCCTAACCTGACTCAGTAACAATATTGTTATTTGTTAATTGCTGCTGATTTCTTTCATTAGGTATAATTTGTGCTCCCTCGATTCAGTGCTGCGAGTTTCCTTTAGCTGAGACTGAATCAGAGGAGTGAGACATACACTTCCTTTAACAGAGACTAGCGCGACTGCAAATTGTGGCAGGGGATCTGAGATTTACCAGATTCAGGGGGCTGTGGAAGAAAAATGGAGCCCGCTCAGCACAATGCCTTTTTGCAACTTTCTATGATGATTAATAAGGTTCCATTTGTCCTGGAAGCAGCAGGGTCAATAGCACGAGATTACAAGGGCCATGCACTGTTGATGTCTGAAAGGTTTAATAGAAGCTCACTTTCTTTTTCTCTGTGCTTTATTGGTTCATAATGGGGAATCGTGTGAAACACGAAAAAAGGCTCACTGTAGGAAAAAGGTTTCTGTGCCATGTGTGTGTGTGTGTGTGTGTGTGTGTGTGTGTGTGTGTGTGTGTGTTGGGGAGATTTGTAGGCTGTGATGATGAGGAGGTGAATACATGGGGGATGATGGATCATAATGGTGTAAATGTGTGGGTGAATGGCCTGGGATGAAGCATATGCATTTGTGTTGGTATGGAGTTGGGTCGTGGATGCGTGTTTTCTTCTGAGTGACTGGAGCCGACTGGGACTCTTAGCTGCTGTTGGACCACATGATGATGATGATGACTCAGCCTCGATCAGCATTAATAACACGGGCGCTTTCTCACTTCCATTTGCTTGGATTAATGACTGAATAATGTAGACTTTTTAATGTAGGAGTGTTTGTGTGCACATCAGTGAGTCACATCGAGCTGCTATTCTTCCATTTTCCTGTATAACGTGTGCACAAAACTGTGACGCTTGTGTTTCCATCCGCTGCCAGATGTTTGTGATGCAGAGGTTGTATTTGCAGATGGTGATCAGTGAATGTAGACGGTTTGCATCCTGGAGAAGCTGCTGCCTTCTAGTGCACTTGTCACTTTATTTTGGTTTTAGGATGTGATGCGGCATCTGCTTCTAAACGAGCTGTGATGTGGCTACACCTACTCATCAGCTTTAAGGACTCAGCACATTTCATGTGCATCGGCTCTTCTTGCTGTTAACCATGTGTGAGTTTTACCTTCTAAATATCTTGTTGGATCAATATTCAAGAAATATGTTTGCTCTCAATACAAAGCACGGCACTTGAGATAAGTAAACCTATTAAATGCAGGTGACAAAACTTTCATTGAACCCATTTAATAAAAACAGTCATGTTCCTGTTGGTTTTACTGAAATAAACCAAAGTTTTCTTTAAGTAAACATCTATTAGAGTTCACATCAGAGTCTGTGAGTGGGCTGGCAGTAGATTTAGTAATATTCAACACATTTAAACCACCTTCATTTCTTTATTTCCAACTGACCTGGCCATCTTGTAGTACATTAAAGTGGTCTTGATCACTAAATCCAAAGTTACAAAGCTCTCTCAATATTTTCTTCAGACAGCCGTTTTTCCACTGAAGGAGTTCTGGGAAATTTCTTGGAGGGTGGCCTCTCAGCCGTTGTGTCTCCACACAAATTCAGCCCTTTCTGGACTTTGCACAAACGTCAGCATGTCGCGACTGTTTCAGCAGAGAGTGATGTCACTGATCAGCACCAAAAAGTGTCCACGGACAATGACATAAAAGTTTTTTTTCCCGGGTCAGCCATTTCCTGGTACAGAGTCTGAGGAAATGTTCAACATCACTGCCGTTTTGTGCTAGGTTGTGTTTCCGTGTAGCATACAGATCACCTCACACTGTTTACTGATCACCGTGTGCAATTTTAGTAAATTTTCAGCTCTTTGAAAATCACTTTGACTGTGCTATGATATGTTATTTATTAAACTGTTTTCTTTGACCATTTTCTATAAATTCAGTCTAACAAGTGAGCCACAGATTGTGACAGGCTGCTTATAAGGAACCAATTTAAAAGCTCAACATGTATCAGTAATAAGACTCAGTAGTTGAAAACATTCGGTGAGAAACCATGGAGGATTTCAAATGTCATCATGTTTCTGGTCTAGCTTGTTAAAATATACCCGTCTCAGT